TTTTTCTTCCCTTCCCTGCAGCTTTAACCACGTGAATTTAACAAACATATTGTTAAAATTATTTCGACATCGTCATGGGCATCCATCAAATCTAAAAGTGAATTGAATTGTAGAATTCACTCAAATAATTTTAATAATAGATATTTTTCTTAAATTCACGCCGTTAAAGCTAGAGGAAAGATTCAAATTTATTAATATTTAGAATGTAAATGATTTAAAATCAGTGTTCACGGAAAATGTTTCTGATCAAAGAAACGAGACCCCTAGTTACATGAGGTCTATTACCAAATGATACGATAAACACCTTCATAAACGAACCCTTATGTAGTTTTACGTGAATTATTGTACACGAATCATCCGATGCTGGTAAAACTTTAAAATTCTCTTTCTGGCTTTTTTTCGGAATCATTGTCCAAATACGATAAGAATGTTGGATAGTCCTGGTTAAAGGAAGTGAAGTCAAATTCTTTACTCAGTTGCTGTTTCGAGATTATATTATTATATAAGTACCTACCTGGCTTTATTGAGACATGTACTTTTCGTATAACCATACATATTCATTAAAAATGTTTCTCTTCTATTGAGGCCAGAGGTTGATTGTAAACTTTTACAGTTGACCTCAGGTCTAGATTTTTCTGTAGAAGGAAGTGTAATAGCGTTAATTTTGCCTTGATTGTACACACCTGATGTGGTTTTACATCCAGACATTGCATATGCAAAAATCACAGATTTCACCCAGAACATCCCTTTGTCGGGAAATATTAAATACCTGTTGGTTCGTTAGGCGATAGATAAAACTTCTCAAAAAATGTAAAATGTAAGTCCAAGTGATTTCAGAAACAATATTAATAACAATATTTCAAGGCATCCTAAGAAAATTATGCATAACGGTCACAATTTTAAAAAATCTTTTAAATAAAACAAAAAGCATAACAGATAAGTATAGGGAATCGATGTAGAATTTTTTTCAACAATTGAAAATGCAAAAAATACAGCAGGATTCATTACAAAAAATCAACTTTTTAAGGTTTGAAGTTATTCAAATTGATCATTAGTTTTCAAACACCCTGTAGAAGGGCGATCCAAATTTAATTCATTCTGTAGCATCAAGTCAGTATTGTTGATTTTGGAAGATGTTTTTAAATTCAGGTATAGGATCCTAAACAAAAGCAGTCAAACGTTAAATATTTTGAAAAATTTTGAATAAGTTGTAAACATTTGATACTGGGTATAGGAAAATTTGGTATCACACTTACGACGGTTATGATGTTACCACAGTTAATAAACTGTACCAATATAGCCAACGAGCGACAAAATGACTTTCGATTGACGAATATTGACTAAAATTTAATCAATTAGTCCCCTAACAGCTAACAGAATTGGAAAATTCGAAACCGTTAGTGAGTTATCGTGTCCACAGACGGACGGACGAACGGGCAGAAAGTCCAAAATCATAAACTCGCTTTTTGTCGGGGATAAATACACAAGAGCTTGATTTTTAATCGGATAATTTTATTTTTACACGAAAGTTTTGTTGCAACGGAAAAAACTAGAGATCAAAAGAGCTGGAGCGATTTTATCTCATGCTTTTGATCGGGAGTTTTTTCCAGGAGGCAACAAAATTTGAGTGAATAAAAAATAAAATTATCCTGATTTAAAACGTTAAAAGCAAAATGGAGTGTGTTTTAGGGAGATTAATAAAAGACAGTAAATTTCACAACCACTATATTTTACGTGTTTCTACAAGCATTTTTATCGCTGATAAAAAGCTCCCTAGCGTTTAATCACTTACGAAATCGTCAAAAATTTGAAACAATCCCCAAGCTGATTGGTCGTATATTAATGGAGGGTTAATAGCTGATAAAAAGCTACCTAGCTTCTAATCACTTAAAAAATTATCTGATTGGTTAGAATTTGAAATAATCCCCAAACTGATTGGTCGTATATTAATAGAGGGTTAATCGCTGATAAAAAGCTGCCTACCTTCTGATCACTTAAAAAATCATCTGATTGGTTAGAACTTGAAACAATCCCCAAGCTGATTGGTCGTATATTAATGGAGCAATTTTAGAATAGTGCAGTGATAAAGATAGATGCAATGAGTAAGAGAAAGATAGCGCATTCATGTGTATGAGAGAGATAGTGAACAAGTGTAAAATAATATGACGTCACACGATGTGCTTTCATTTTTAAAATAATTAATATCAGTTGCCACGAATACCGCAATTGATTACAATGCTAATTAAATTAATTTAATTAAATTAAATTAATCAAATCAAATCAAAAACGCAAATCATGTACAGGAACCGCGAATTAAATTAATTCCGCGATTAAATCAAGACAATTTAATTTAATTGGACCAATTTAATTCAATTAATTCCGCAAAATTAAATTAAATCCGTGAAATTTAAATAAAACCCGCGGGCGGCGAAATTAATAAGAAAAAGTGTTTTCTCGAGAAATTTTGGTGTAGTGGATTTTTGGTAAAAAAAGGAAGGTTATACGTATATACCCTGCCTTTTTTTGAGCCCCCAAAAAAATGGTCTCTTATAGAATGTGGCCTGTAGAATCCATAATTTCAAACAGTTCCAAGATTGGGCTACTAGATCAAAAGTTACAGCCCTTTGAATTATCCTTCGAAATTGGTTTCTAGTCCATAACTTTTGATTGAGAAGTCGAAAAAGTACGAAATGTTTTGGATTCTACGCACCAAAATTAATAAGAAAAAGTGGTTTCCCGAGAAATTTTGGTGTAGTCGATTTTTGGTAAAAAAGGAAGGTTATACAATGCCTTTTTTTGAGCCCCGAAAAAAAAATTGTCTCAGATGGCCTCGGAAAAAAATTTTCTTATAGAATGTGGCCTGTAGAATCCATAATTTTAAACAATTCCAAGATTGGGCTACTAGTTCAAAAGTTACAGCCCTTTGAATTTGTTTTCGAAATTGGTTTCTAGTCTATTTTTATCTATTGATTGAGAAGTCTGATCGAAAAAGTACGAATTGTTTTGGATTCTACGCACCCAAATTAATAAGAAAAAGTGTTTTCCAGAGACATTTTGGTGTAGTCGATTTTTGGTAAAAAGGGAAGGTTATACACTGCCTTTTTTGAGCCCCGAAAAAGAAATTGTCTCAGATCGACCCGGAAAAAAAATTTTCTTATAGAATGTCGCCTGTAGAATCCATAATTTCAAACAGTTCCCAGATTGGGCTACTAGTTAAAAAGTTACAGCCCTTTGAATTTTTTTTCTAAATTGGTTTCTAGTCTATAACTTTTGATTGAGAAGTCTGATCGAAAAAGTACGAATTGATTTGGATTCTACGCACCCAAATTAACCCTAGTTTACTGGCCACTAAAACTTTCAAGTTTACGGGCGTGGGGTGGAACGAACCCTAGATAGAAAAGACTAAACTTGGAAGGTACTCGAGCTCCCAGGCCAAAATATTGAAAGAAAAAAACTTATGGACATTGAAAGTGGCTGTGGGGTGCGATCCACCCCAGACCTGTAAATTAGGGTTAAACGCGATAATGCTACAACTAAAATTCTTTAACTATTTAAGTTTTTAAGTAATCACAATAACAGAATATTTTCGATCCTAAGAACCCTACAAATACCAACCCTAATGAATTTAACGACCAGAAATTGTTCATTCACATCAAATATCTCGTGTACCAAGAGCGAATTTTATTTCTGAAAACTATTGACTCCTTTTACAACAGGACAATTAACACATTTAACGATTTAAGTTCTAACGAAATTTCCCAAAAGTTTACCAAAATATACCCCTAGAAGAAAATTCAAGACGATAATAAGTATGATGCTTCCAAAAAAATAACGAAGAGCACTATCGAAGATTAAAATTTTTATAATCATTAATTTCAGAATATCTCTCGGATCAACAAATTCCTGAGTTTCAATCTTTTTCTTACCATAATGACGAAACATTCCGCCACTACTGCTGGAAGCTCTTACGTGAAATGTGTTAATGCTACATAAAGTGGAAAAACGAAAACCATCAATTTTAATTTTTCTTAAAAGTGCAAAATGAAAGCTTTTATCAGAGCTTTCACCACACCCATGTATACCTAAATACTCGTACATCAAGTGATGGCTCCATTATTCTTACGTTTTGAGTAACAATTTTCAACACAACAGTGTTCTTTTTTATTATGCGTGTGATGAAAGCTCCGATAAAAGCTTTCATTTTGCACTTTTAAGAAGAAGAAGAATGGATGGACGGAGACGGTTTAACTAAAAAACCCAATTTCTGCGAAATTGATTTTCACACAGATACAAACTTTTCGAAAATTGCATCGTTTTTTTCTCCAAAAGCTTGCATGACCATCTAAAAATTAGGAGTATGTGTCCGTAATCTCTCACAATCCAGCCAAACCCCCCCGCAATCTGTGAAGATCCTTTATTTTTGCAATCTGACCACAATTTCTCACCTTGTGATTAGCCATTCAGTTGCATTACGAGTAAAGAACAAAGCAGTAAGAGACCGGGCAGGTGAGCAGGAAATATGCCGGTAATAGCTGATTCTTTGGTATTATTAGCTTTGAAATTTGATTAAGTTTGGTACAGGAGACGTTATCCTTTTTGATTGGCGTTATCAATATACCAAACATCCTTCAGGGGGTGGCGAAGTTAACTATAGTAGCATTGTAAAGTGTGATGCGGATATACAAAATTAATACCGATTCCAATTACTATTTGTAGCAGGCTTAGATCATGAACGACGTCCTAAACGACGTGGGCAACAGGTGCAACAAATCACCTGCTTCTATTTTTCATTTCTGCTTGCAATATTTTCTTGTTTTTTTTCAGCTCACAATACACCGCGCACACGACAGCATGTACTGCACTGTTTGCTTTAATTAATGAGTTGGACAATCGCTACTTGTAACTTTTTTGCATAAATTTATCACCACATAATATCACCAGGTAGCCTCACATTGCACAGCGTCTCAAAGCTCATAAATCACCCAATTATTGTTCTTACCGCTTTTATTTAAAATTTTTTATAACAGTATAAAATGGAATCTTATCACATCAGGTTCTGACGGAATGATTTTTGATTTCAATTGCAGTTAACTACTACAATTTACACACTCATAAAATATTCGTAGGGCGTAACGTAGTCACATAATAATTATTCAATTTAACAGAGATAGACAAAGATTAATTAATAGTTAACAAATTGGAATCGTAGAAATCTGTCTTAAGCATATAGTTAGAAAATATAATTCTATTTAGCGCCAGTTCATGCAAAAAATTTACACAAGTTCTCGTTTATTAAGGCAAACTGTAAAAACCAAACTTGAAGCACTGTTATCACGTTTATTGAGCGGAAAATACACTACGAGTTGACTCCTTAGGCCGTCGCGTCCGATTTCTTACTTCCTCTTCTTCTGCTTAACTGCCTCCAAAAGCGTCCGTCCATCTGCTTGTCCTAAAAACAGTAACAAAATGACGTCAAATAGCCGGGGCCGTATTTTTCACCTTTGGTATTCTGCTGGTGATCGGCCTCTGCGAGTATGAAGTGGGAACGTCGTCGGAGGTCATTCCTTCTTTATTGAATAATTTAATTAAATGATCGCCTTCCGGAAATGACTCGTGAATTTTTCGATCGGTTTTCTTCACATAAAATATTTCAAATCTGAAAGAAATTGAATGTAAGATACGGCTGTACTTCAAACTGCAGCAGTTAAAATTGAGTATGCGGGGTCTCGATCTCCACCGTTGAAATGAAGTCCATCTTTATTCATCGCAGTCATTTCGTGAACAATCGGAATAAAATGTGGGAGCCAAAGCGATTTTATATTCAGTATTATTGTCTGAACTTTTCCAAACTGTATAAAATATGGAAATGTTGTAGAGGTACGATATCAATAAGCACATCGTTTCCAAGAAAAGAATAGTTCCGTTACTGGTTTGGCTTTTGGATTACAAACATGTATTGTAATCATCTCGTAAATAAAAGGCACTTTTTTTATCATATCTTACAAAATAGAGGCCCAATTAAACGTTATGGCGAGTTTTTTTGGGACGATCAGTTGTGGGAATTCTTTGTCCTAGAATTTGAATTTTTTATTTGAGGTTGTGGTAAAAAAAAAAGAATTAAAAACATGTCCAAGAACAAAGCAATAAATAATTTGGAGATTGGTTCTATTGACAAATGTAAGCTACTACTATAAAGGAAGTTAAACATTTCAATATTGAAAAGGAGAAAGGATAACAGAAACTGGCAAAGGTGCAGAGGGTGAAGTATGCTCAAAATTACAATTTCGGTAAATGGATCATAAACGAAAAACAATATGTATATTATTTAAGAAAGAAGGTTTAAATAATTAGAAATAGAAGGACGAAAATTAATCCAGTCCAGAAATGAATGTCTAATTCTGGTTTGCGGATTGATTTTTACATGCTATCTATAGGCAACGACTATCCTGCTCCTTTACGCCCTGTCCTAAACTGAATTATAATTTAACTTTAATAGTGTCATTTAAACACTAATTTCAAGTCCGCAAAAGAGGTTATCATTATTTTAAGATACGTAGCTGAAAAACAATAGCGACCTTTCTTATATCCTTGAGAACATGCGTATACCAATTTGCAAAGCGATCCAACGTTTTTGCCCAAAGTTATCGTGCACAAGGACATACGGACAGATGGACGGGCAGACAGATGGACGACAGACAGACACACAGACAATACAAAATTATATCTCGGGGATCGTTAATAAACGGCAAAAGTGTAAAATTATGGTACATGAAAAAATTGATTTTTTACTATAATTTTTTTCTAGGGGGAAACAAGTACCATTTTTGGTGTACACCAAAAATTCAAATTTAAATTAATTCATGTTAATTCAAAACAATTCACGTAAATGCATGTTAATTCACGTTTATTCAAGTTAATTCCTGTAAATTCAAATTAATTCACGTTAATTCTAAATAATTCACGTTAATTCTAAATAATTCACGTTAATTCAAATTAATTTACGTTAATTCAAATTGAATCACGTTAATTGACATTAATTCTCGTTAATTCTAATTAATTCACGTTAATTCTAATTAATTCAAGTTAGTTCAAACTTCAAATTAACACAGGGGGGTGTACACCAAACATTCAAAGTTGTTTCCATCTAGAATTCTTCCAAGGCAAATTTTTACCAGGACTAGAGTTTGCGAGTAAAATATTTCAACGGCGGATTTTTTCTGGCGACAAATTTTTTACACAAGTATACCAGGTAAAAATTTTCCAAGAGCAATTTTATCAATCTTGAATTTTCAAGACGAGAATTTCCCTAAGGCGAATTTTTCGGAGACGAGATTTTAACTGCCAAATATTCCAAGGCCTATTTTGTTGGAGGCTAAATTTTCCGTATGCGAATCTTCTGGAAATGAATTTTTCCATGACAAATATTCCCAAGACGAATTTTGAGGGGAGAATTTTTGTGGGTCAAACATTAATTCAAGGGCGATTTTTTACGTTTCTGGAGACAAGTTTTCCACGCAAGTTTCTGGGGCGAGTATCTCAGAGCATAAACTTCCAACGCAAATTTTTCTTTGACGATTTTTTGGGGACCAAATATTCGAAAGATGATTTTTTCAACATTTTCTGTAAAATGAATTTCCTTTTCTGGACGAATGTTTTAAGGAGCCTACATTTTCCGTAGGTAAATTTTTCGGAAGACAATTTTTCCATAGCGAATGTTCCCAGAACAATTTTCTTTGTAGTTTTTGGGAGTCAAATATTCCAAGGACGACTTTATTCGGTAGGCGAATTTTTTAGGAAAGAAGTTTTCCAGGAAGAACCTTCCCGAAAATTGTTGGGGGTGAAATTTTCACGTAAATATTACGGGAGGAAAATTCGTAAGAGGCGAATATTCCCTGTATGAATTTACGGGTTGAATCTTGCACGGAAGTATTTTAAAAAGGCGATTTTTCATAGCGAATTTGTCTAGTATATTTTTTTCGGGTTTTGGGGGGTCAAATATTCCAGTGGCGATTTTTCCTACCGAATTTTCAGGAGATTTCTAAGGGCGATTTTTTTACAGGAATCGCCGATTTTCGAGAAATGAATTTTCCATGGCAAATGTTGTGAGAACGAGTGTTTGTGGGTCAAATATTCCAACGGAGATTTTTTCGAGACTAAATTTTCTGGGGGCAAATTTTTCACGCAAGTATTCCAGGGAAAAGTTTTCCAACAATGATTTTATCGTGTTTACATTTTCAGGACAAGAATTTTTCCATAGCGAATTGTTCCAGGGCGAGACGTGTCAAATATTCCAAGGGTGATTTTTTGGAGGCTAAATTTCCAAGACAAAAATTGTTTATACAATTATTCCAGGAAAGAATTTTTCAATGCGCATATCCCCAAGGCGACTTTTTCAAGCCTACATTTTCCGGAAGCGAATTTTTCCATAGGGAATTTTCCCAGAAGACATTTTCCGGGAACAAGTCTGAAGATCAAACACAATAGTGATTTTTTCGAGGCTACACTTTCAGGATGAGAATTTTTCTATAGCGAATATCTCCAGTGAGAAATTTTCCGGGAACAAGCCTTTAAGGATGAAACATATCAAGGGCGATTTTTTAAGCGCAACCAAATTTTCTGAAGTGAATTTTCTGGGATTTATATGGGCAATTTTTTCAGGAATAAATGATTTTTTAGAAACGAATAAGTATCATTTTTGGTGTAAACGAAACATTCAAATTCAAATTAATTTACGTTAATTCATGTTAATTCACGCTAATTCAAATTAATTCAAATTAATTAACGTTAATTCAAATGAATTCACGATAATTCAAATTAATTCACGATAATTCAAATTAATTCACGATAATTCAAATTAATTCACGATAATTCAAATTAATTCACGTTAATTGTAATTAATTCACGTTAATTCAAATTAATTCAGAGGGGTGTACACCAAAAATTCAAAGTTGTTTCTCCCTAGATTTTTTTAATAAGAAACGCAGAAAAAATTCCTTCCTTGGTGCAAGTCTCGGCACCATAACGAACCAAATAGCGAAAATAGTAGAACGATAGCTATTAAGATAAAGAACTGGTAGCGTCCAGACGGACGGACAGACGGATGGACAAAGTGGCTACAATAGCGCATTTTTTAAATTTTTGTGGAAATGGGCTAAAAAAGGAGGTTGTGATTTGACAGGACGAGAGGCGGTCGCAACTCCAATTAACTGCAGATTCATCCAGCTACGAAGATGTTACTGGAGGTCACTTTCGGGTAGAGGTCCAGTGGATTACCTACACAGGACACCGTGCGGATATTTTGAAAATTTACCTACAGGATTTAGATTTAGAAAATTTCTTAGAATGGCAAGAGAATTACATCCTATAGTAAATGGGGTGTAGGTATCGAATCCATCAATGGTTACAAATACATTCTCGAATCCTTAAGACCCAAAAAGGTTCAACAAATGGACATAACTGCCTCACGAAGTTTTTCATTTTTTGAGATATTGTAGCGAATATTCCAGAAATCCAGATAGACATCCAGGCTCCATGAAATATTAGTCATCGACGATAAAAAGCGAAAGCGGATGTAACGCAATCCTTCCGGAAAAACGCGTTTATTGTAGAACATTCCGAAGCTTTTTAAGCACATTCTAGAACAACTGTCGTTATATGTACATATAAGCAAATCGAATTGCGTTACAGTCAATTCCGCCTTTGATACGTTTGTGTTATGTCTAGTCTAAATTATAAGCTATTCTCGATGGTTCTGTTAATTGTTTTGTTGAATATTGTTTAGAAATAATAATTTCAAAGTGATACTTACAATTTAATGGTTCGAGATCTTGGAATCCTTTCAACATTTATAATTTTCGCATTTGATTTGAAACGATTGAAAAAATTTGCGTTGTCTTCGTCGTCTTCGATTATGTGCCGATAACTGTCCGATCGGAGAATTCTGGGTGTTGTCGATTTGACTGGAAATGCTACTGCAGGTGTATTTGATTGTTCTTGGATGCTCCTTGGAGCTTCCGCAGCAGTCAAGCAAATGTCAGCAACATCGCCAGTTCCGTTGCCCTGCCCACATTTTAAACGCATTATATAATTTTTTCATCCGCATGATGCGTTGATAGAAAAAAGCGTTAGTTACCTGTTGCGGTGAAGGGGTGTAACCGTCTGGCGACGAGGAAGAGGACGTACACGTATCGGAATCTTCTTCCATTAACGGTTCTAAGGTTCTTCGCGGAAGTAGTCCACGTAAATTGGCACTTGCAATTGGAGGAGTCATTAGTAACTCATCCATCATCAATTCGGTATCGTCGCCGTTGTCCGAAGATAATGATCCGCCATTAGGCTGCATACGTACAGGTGGTCTTAAGAACACATTTAAACACTTACTAAGTTCTACATGCATGCAACATGCTTAAAAACCTAAGCTCTAACCGAACGCTTTGTGTCGTAATTTGAGCTCAAGGGATCGTCCATATCTCCACTTGTTGGCGTTCCCCAAATCTCCTCACCGGACGTTGCACCCGAGTTTTCGCATTCGTCTTCTTCGCCATTCTCTTCCTTACTGTCTCCCGATTTTAGGTAACTATAGCGAGTCTCAGTTTCACTTTTTTAAATCACATTCAACTCACCGTTCAAAAAACCCGGTTCCAGCACGATAGTCCTCGCCCAATCTCTCAAAAAACGCCATTTTCTCAGACATGAACGCACCAGCACGTGCTGTCCACCCTCTAATTGTCGGCGGATTAAATCCCCTATTGTCGATGCCCATGCTTTCGTCGTCCTCACTTTCTGAAGTCTCGGCTTCGTCGTTTTCGTCGGTTTCCTCGGAACCAACGCGCTCCAGACTCGAGACGGTACCGAACCTTCGAAGCGTCGGGTTAGAGCTGCTGAGCGAGTGATAGGGCTGCTCTTCGTCTTGGGGGGAATCGTCGGGAGAACATTCGTTATTGTTTAGCTAAAAGAAGGTAGGATTGGTATTGGGGTCTTCTTGGGACAGTACGCCGACAATCTCACCTGACTCGTCGATATTCTACTACATACAGACTCACTATATCTAAATTCGGAACGAGTATCGGGCGTTGGAGGGACTACTGATATTTTGGGTAGAGGCGAAAAGGGATCAAGCTTTACCAAACTAGCGGCCGGATTAACTGCACTAAATCCCATTAGCATTAAACGTCCAAATTCATCACAGATAATGTTATCTTCGTATAGGTTCGTTGTATTGAGGTTTATTGCATTTTTGTTATATTCGGTGCACTTACTATGGTTAATGTTGTTATTGGAATTGTGAGCGTTAGGGTTAGTCCGGCAGGTGTTGTGGCATTGTTGGCATACTCTCACGGTTTCTTTGGCATTCGGGCTTGAACGAACGGTTACCTAGATGAGGGAAGGAGGAATAACACAACACTGAACATCGAACACTGAGCTGCTCACCTGGCTTTCGGGGCTTGTGCTCTTGGACGGACTGTGATCTGACAAAATAAGCTCCTCGCACCTGCTTTCGCAATGCCTAGGCGAATTTCGGTTGTCACTTATCATGAGCTCCTCCGTTCGCCTCCGCAACATGTCCACGCTCCATATTTCGCAATCAGACTCCTCTTCGGGTGTGAGCGTTTGGTCTCTGCCCAACTGACCTTTCATCCACTGCTCTAAGTGTATGGCGCTTCCTTTGGTACTACTGCTACACTTTCCCAACTGCTTACATTTATGCTCTATTATTTCGTCTAACTGCTTTTGCTTGCCACAGCTTTCTACGTTTAGGCATTGGGGAGTCTGAAAAACGTCGCTTATTAATAAGAAAAACAAACTCGAATCAAAAACAAAAGATTTATTTATCATTTACACTTATAACAATATAATTCTAAGCCAACTATGGTTAACTAGCATTAATAAAACTATAGTAGTATAAAAATTGATTAAAGGTACAAGTAAGACAGTCGATTGGTACAAATATATCGTAATCTTTTCTGTTTAAAGAATCACATCGATAACACAGTTAGAATTTTGAATTGTACAAAAATAGATCTTTGGTTTTGCTTTCGAAAAATGAAGCTACAACAAATTAAGGTTTCCGAATTCATAATCAAAATTTGCAATGTCCAACAGTTCCTCGTCGAATTTTGAATAATCGATATCTTCTTTAAAGCTAGCGTCAAAATCAGTCGACGGCGTTAAAATTGCGGAAGGGGTGTGAGGTTCTTCCGAAAGCTGGGTTTTAGGCAGAAGACTGCTCTCTGATGTGAAGTGCGAAGTGAAGGCTTGCGAATATTCGGACAGCAGTGAAGGGGTTGTGTTAGCTGATGGCGTTTCGGGAGTTTTGGTTAATGAGCTTTGGGCCGGTAATGGAGATTGCGGAAGCGAGGAGCATTTTCGTGCGGACAAACAAAGAGGTTCTAATGGTCGGTTGTTTTGACCACTACACAGACGCACCTGGCGACGGATCGACAGCGATTCTGTCGATTGAAGGGTGCCAACGGATGAGGTCACCGGAACGTCCGGAGACTCTAATGGGCTGCTAAATGAACTGCCTTCCATGCCCGCGTTAACGTGGCAGCTGCGTGCATAACAACATCACTATAAGTACTACTTTTTACTCAAAATCCGTCACTCGCGGTTTCGTATGTAGGTTTTGCTCAAGTTTGCACACAAATCGTACATACGGATTCTCTAAGCTCTATTTCCCTATCTATTCGTATTGGAATATGTTGTTTTAGACCAATATCCGCTGTACCAAACGAGAATCCGTTTCAGCTATCAACATTTTAGAAATTATGATTTGGGAGAAATCCTTATTGTTGTTTGGATAGTAAGCAACAAAATATTCCAGTACATATTGACGGTTTTTGGCACTAATACCTAAGGCGACTATATCACCAACTCCTGTATCATCTATGGTAGTACTAAACGCGTGCAAAAAAGTTAATCAAAGACTTACATCTGTCGTTGTAACAAATTTTGCCAAACAGCCTTCAGTTCAGTTGTGGGGGCCCTTAGTACGATACACCTTTTATTCGAACTTTTCCGCGGCGTTCGTGTTAAATCCGGGCCGCAATGTATCGTCGGACTTTTCGCCGCAGTTCCACCCGGGTGTACTATTAACCTAAATTCGTTCGCTAAAAAAGGGTCAGATTCCCGCACTATACCGGGCTTACCATAGCTCACTCACCTTTTTTCCTAACGTTAAAGAGTAAATCAGTTATATGCACCAATGGAAGCGGATCTTCAATTATAAACAAAACCCTATCCCTCGACACTTTGGCGAACAAAATTAAATCGCTAAATAGCAACGTCCAATACTGTCTGACGCTCCTTCCTTCTACTCTACCCAGATCACCGCCAAAAATCCATTGCCTACCCGGTTTACTTAAAACGAAAGGCTGCAAAGAGGAGTTAGTCAGTTTTTCTTGTGGTACGAACCTACTTTGCACTTGGTGAACACAAGGCGATTTTCTAAATCTTGAACGGATAGTAGAGGTCTACCTTCCCCAACCGGCTCCATCAGTCCCGCCTCGGCCGTCATCTCCCTATAGGCTATCTAAAAGAACTCACCACAGTCTCATCACCACCAACAATTCTAAGTTGTCACCTGCAAATCCTGAACAATTTTACTAATGAGAGCATACTCGTCATGGTTCGCTTTGGTCTGACTTAAAATGACGTTGAACAACTTTAAAATCTCGCGATAATGTTCTAGGGGTTTATGTATAAAGGAAGTAATGTCGGGTCTTCTTCGCGGTACCGCAGGCGTTTGTAAAAATCGTACGAAGTCCGAATTGGAATTTCGAGTTTTGTTTACTAAAATGCAATCCGCCTTTTTAATACCGGAACAGTAGCGTTTGTATGACGTTATAATATCCGATAGCTTCGAATGGTAGACTTTTAGTAAAAGGTGTATCTGGGGTTCGCCATCTTCCGGCACTAGACACTCTAGTATTTCCTCACTGATACGATGCACCTGAAATTTCAATTTTAACTTGACTCAGATTGTTGGCAGATACCTCTTCCGAATTTTGAAAAAGGAGTCGGTGGTCTAACGGCGATATTAGGTCTTTTCGTTCAGCGAGAGCGGAGACGAATCTGGTAATTGCAAACTGTAGGGAGGCGGTGTACTGTTGCTCTTTTGCTAGAACTTGGTACATCGCTTTTCTACGTGCTTCTTCTGTGTTCAGTAGTGGTTTCTGAAACGTAATGCGATTTCGATACCGTTACATTTGGTATACGTGGCCAAAATGGGTCAAAATATCTATTGCGTTTGTGAATTCCATTCAAATTAAGTGCAATTATCCTACATGCAGTTTGGGAATGCAGTTTCTACCAAACGCCAAACCTAAGCGAACTTATAAAAGCTTCTTGCTTTTACATGCCAAAAGGGAAGAACCAATTGGGCATAAGCAGACCAGAATACGAATATTTTAGTAAATGTATAGCGTTTCGACAGATCCATACCAATTAGAGATCCATTGGGTTGAATATTAGCACAATCTTTATTCAATTGATTTTATAGTTTAGTTTATTTCCATTTCTTAGCGAAGAGCAACTATAACTGCATTATCATGAGCTATCCAAATCCAACCAACATTTTTCCGTTAGTGAAGAAGTTCGATCGTTAAGATAGAACACTAAACTTCCAGACATGCTTTAAAAAAAATATATATTATGTATTTGTTTTCATCCCTTAATTTTTGCGCATGTTGCTAATTAAATTGCTAATTAATATTTGTAACGTTAGATGTACAACCAGGTTCAGAAATTTTCCTCTTTTCAGCTAGGGATAAGACAGAATGTGGTGGAGTCGTCAGCAAATTATTGATTAATTAGGTACATTAAACGCACAGTGCGTTAACCTGTTTTAGAAATATAAGTTCGTTGATATTACTTTTGAAAAGGTCAGAGGTCGCGTTCTCTTGATTTACGGGAGAATTTGCGTCTAGAGTATTTTGTAGAGCGGTGCCAGTGTAGGAGTTCTCTTTTTTAATTTAATCCGTTTCTGTTTTTCGTTGTGATATCTAGTTAAAATCATAATCAGTCAATTAAAAAGTGTTTTACTAATGTCATGGCTTCCAATTCTACCATTGTTGGTGTAAAAAGAAAATTTCAAAATTGCAACATTCAGTTGTATTTCAAAATTTAAAAAAATTATATATAGTAATATTGAAATCTAAACGGTCTTTTTTTAATATGCGAAATCGTTAGGATCATTGTTTCAATTTAACGAACTTGTAACCGAGGTCTTCGCGGTGAGACGTGAAATTGGAACACCCTGTAATGAAAAGAAAAAACTTGGAAAACACCAATGAATCGATAACTAGGAATAAAATTAAAGAATTTGAGAACCGAGATCAGATCAAATTATATCCAAACTGGTTATCAAATAATCTAAAAGGTGGCTCATGGGAGAGCCCAAACATTTTATAAAGGAACGAAGGTTTCTGCTCATACTCATTCGAAACATCAAACATGTCTACCTTATAATGCAATAAAAAGATCTTCATCACATCAAAAAATTGCGTATTTTGGAAAAACTAAAAACCGTCGCTCTTATTGCGACACCCTTTATATAATATTTTAGTCTGAAATATATAGATACAAATTAGCCATCTTTTTTGATATAATTTAAATACAGAGCTGGGCAGTATTCGTTTTTGTAAATACTTTTTAGTATTCAAATCCTTTAAACTATTCAAATACTTTGTAATTAAATACTTTTATGGAAGCAGTATTTGTATTTGTAACTCAAATACTTTCACAAATATTTAGTATTCGAATACTTCGCAAGGTATTTGAATACTTTGAGAAGTATTCAAATACTTCGCACAGTATTTGAATTCTTAACCTTCCTTTTTCACCAAAAATCGACTGCACCAAAATTTCTCGGGAAAACACTTTTTCTTATTAATTTTGGTGCGTAGAATCCAAAACCATTCGTACTTTTTCGATCAGACTTCTGAATCAAAAGTTATAGACTAGAAACCAATTTCGAAAGAAAATCAAAGGGCTGTAACTTTTGAAGTAGTAGCCCCATCTTCAAACTGATTGAAATTATGGATTTTACAGGCCACATTCTATAAGAAAATTTTTTTTCCGGGTCGATCTGAGACAATTTTTTTTTCGGGCCTCAAAAAACGGCAGTGTATTACCATCCTTTTTTACCAAAAATCGACTGCACCAAAATTTCTCGGGAAAACACTTTTTCTTATTAATTTTGGTGCGTAGAATCCAAAACAATTCGTACTTTTTCGATCAGACTTCTCAATCAAAAGTTATAGACTAGAAACCAATTTCGAAAGAAAATTCAAAGGGCTGTAACTTTTGAACTAGTAGCCCAATCTTGGAACTGTTTGAAATTATGGATTCTACAGGCCACATTCTATAAGAAAATTTTTTTCCGGGTCGATCTGAGACAATTTTTTTTTCGGGCCTCAAAAAAAGGCAGTGTATAACCTTCCTTTTTTACCAAAAATCGACTGCACCAAAATTTCTCGGGAAAACACTTTTTCTTATTAATTTTGGTGCGTAGAATCCAAAACAATTCGTACTTTTTCGATCAGACTTCTCAATCAAAAGTTATGGACAAAAAACAAATTTCGAAAAAAAATTCAAAGGGCTGTAACTTTTGATCTAGTAGCCCAATCTTCAAACTGTTTGAAATTATGAATTCTACAGGCCAAATTCTATAAGAAAATGTTTTTTCCCGGTCGATCTCAGACAATTTTTTTTCCGGCCTCAAAAAAAGGCAGTACTTTTAAGTTATTCAAATATTTGAGAACAATTTAGAAATGTTTAGGGAAAGTTTCCATTGTCACAAAATCAAATATAAAAATCCGATACAACTGAATACCGAACGATCCTGGAACGAAACTTTTTGACTCGATAGTCCACGTAACTTAAAAACGATAGGAACCTTCCTTATATCAATATCCTTAAGACCATTGTGTACCAATTTTCAAAGCGATCGCACGTTTCTAAACCAACTATCATGCACACGGACAAACGGATGGTCAAAAAAGGATCTGTTCCAAAATCGCTAGGATTAATTCCAGAAAGGCGTACGTATCATGTGCACGACGACTGATACGCGTATTCTTAAGGATATAACTGGTATAAGAAAGGTCCTGGTAGGTACCTCCTATATAATAATTTAATAATAATAATACGCTTTCACTCCCCTTAAATTTGTATATAACAATAGAAATATAAAAAAAGCTAACCCCATACAAAGTATAACTTGATTTTTAAGTAGTATTAAGACTTTTATCTAGTATACTATTTTAAATTTTTAATGTATTTGAGTGACAAATATTCGAATACTTTTCAATGTATCTGTATCTAGTATTCACTTGTGCTGGACGTAAAAGTATTTAGTATTCAAATACCTTTGATCTGTGTAAAGTATTTACTATTTAGTATTCAAATACTTTTTGAAAGTATTCTGCCCAGCTCTGTTTAAATATCTAAAAGTATACATGAGCGAAAGATGCTCATTTAAAAATTTTAAAATTGTGGCTGTATGGCTATTACTCAAGGTGTTACTTCGTGCAACATGTGGTTAAAACTTGGAGAAGTCGAGACGGGCCGGTCATTGTTGAAAAGTCTGGCGCTGCAAGACATGGCAGAAAATGGGGACTCAACAGTTTTTTCGATTCGGTTGATAAGCTAAACGGCATGGGAGATTGAGATCAATCCAGATCTCCTGTCGATATGTTGCTGTACAGCTTACCGTCATATTTTGGACGACATGCTCGAGGAGGGTGCAGTGGCACGACCTGTGGCTTGAGGAACCCCATGAAGATGTCCTAGTCGACCAGAGAAGGTGACGACTAAAAGGAGTAGCATAATTATGTTATTCCAGGGGACAATAACGAAGTGGGACAGAACCTTGGGCGGGTCTGACGAATGAATCGTCGATGAGATGACTTCAATTCTCGAAAAAGAGCCCTGGGAGATGGTCGACCGCCTTGAAAAAATTTCCGTGTGGTTCTAAGGAACAAGTTGCGTTCTGATAGCTCCATCTAGAAACGGAAAGCACGATTGGTCGCACTGGGATTCATCCAGCAACCTGACATCCGCTTTACGGAAACATCAGTGGCTCAAGGCGGTAGGAGCTGGTATACCGGACTGGACGAGCACGAGACCAAGAAGAATCGATCATAGCAAATCATTGAAATAGAATTGGTTCATGAAGATTAAGAGCTTTTAAGAATTATTTTACTTTATTTACTTGATTATTAGCTTCTCCTAAAAAACAGCTATACAGGGTGGTGACTTGCGTAACGCATCATAGGAATTTCAATGTAAAATTTATAACATGCGATTATTGGCTCCCCAAATTATTTTAGAGCAAAAATGTATTAAAGTTTTTTGTAGAAAAAAGTTTTTTAAGCCAAACTACGGTATTAGTTTTCAATTTTTTTTCATATAAAGACGGAAAATTGGAAAAAAATAAATCGCATCTTTTTCAATAATCTGCGATGCCATGGAATTTTCTAAAACAAAAAGATATCCAGTTATCAATTAGCAGCAGTTCGAAATAAATTTTATGATCGACTTGGTTACTGTCTTGCAGTTAATGGTGACTTATTCGAACATTTATTGTAAATTGTTATATTAGGAAACCGTTTTTAGTAATTTGGTCTTTCTTTATGTTGAATTCGCTGTTCTAAATATAATACTTTTTGATAGAATTTGATTTGTTTTATAGCAGACATTCCATGGCATGACGGATATTGGCGTAGTTTTTGTATTATAAAATTCCATGGCATCGCAGATTATTGAAAAAGATGGGGGTTTTATTTTTCCAATTTTCCGTCTTTATTATGCAAAAAATTGAAAACTAATACGGTTGATTGACGTATAAAAATTTTTTCTACAAAAAACCTCAATACATTTTTGTTCTAAAATAATTTGGGGAGCCAATAATCGCATGTTATGAATTTTACATTGAAATCCCTATGATGCGTTACGCAAGTCACCACCCTGTATATACCTACAGGGTGAAAATTGAACAGTATGTATATATTCAAAACAACATTTTTTTCTAGAAGCTTTTTATCGCTGCATACTTTAAATTTGTTTTCAGTGACGTACTTTTACATTGCGAAGGGGGACATATTTTTTCTAATGGCAACTACTAGTTTTCATTACATGCGCAGAGTACATTTTGTTGGATGTCGTACCGCAA